TTTTTTTGGTAAAATACGGGACTTTTCACTTGTAAAGTTGAAAGGCTAATAGGTCATTTTTGCCAACGTTTTTTTGTTTGCAGTTCTCGAACTTCACCCTTAATATGTCAGGGTCTAAAGTGGTGTAATCTCAACTGAAGTTCGCACCAGTAGCTTGTGCTGGTAAATTCATATAACCCAGCTTGAAACCTGTGTGCAGTTAACAAATAGGTCACGTTGAAAGTAAATTAAAGTTTTTTTGCAGCAATATTATAAAGACATATTTTAAGGATGAATCTTTCCTGGGGAAAATGAATACCCTTACGAGGAAGAAGAAAGCAGCGCAGTTGGAACAGGAGGCAGAGAATGAAGCAATTGAAGTAAATTACTGCAGTTCTTAAATTATCAGTTTTTTATTTGTATAATGAAAGTTTTATTTGTTATTTCATTTTTCATCCTTGGTCCGCTTTTCAAGGTAGAGTTAGAGGGTGCCGACGCTTTAGACTCTTCGCTTGTTCCGGTTGCTGCGACAAATCAAACTTTTGAACTTGAAGAAGGTATACTATTTTCACATATTTTTTTAGTCCACCAGCTAGAAGAAAAATATTAGATATTAGACTCGGAAGAAATAAAATTTTCTATCTTCTTCGATTTTTCAGTTGGGCATTAGTATCTTGCACTTCCTGACTGCTTTTTTTTTATCACTACACTGATTTTTCTTTTATTTGTTATCCAGTTTTTTTGGAAAATTTAACCCGAATACCATCCATTAGGTGAAGAGAAACGCTTCTTAACTACTGAATCTCGCGATGACCCACGAATAAAAGAAATAATTACTCTTCTAATTAACTGGTTGAATGAAGAACTGTCATCGCAGCGTATTGTAGTGAAGCACATTCAGGAAGATCTTTATGATGGCCAGGTGATACAGAAACTAATTGAGAAGCTAGCTAATATAAAAGTAAGCTTTGGAATTTCCTCTGATAGCGTTTTGTTACGATTACGGATTGATGTCTCAAAAATTTTTGATAACTCAACTCCTCGCATTTCTATATTATTGAGTGCAAAAAATTTGTATTGCTTGAGGAAGAGGGATAGTAATTGTAAGCTTTTAAGATCGAAGTGCCTGAAGTCTCACAAAGCGAAGAGGGCCAGCGGCAGAAGCTTCATATTGTTCTGGAAACAGTAAACAGTATCATAATTCATGGAGATTATGAAAGGCCTAAGTGGAATGCTGAAAACATTCATAATAAAGTTGGTAATTATGGTACCTAAAATTTCCTGTTTATTTTTAAACTTGAAACACCAAAAAAATTTTTTGAAAATGTGGGTTTTCAAAAAAAAAAAAAAATAAGTTTTTGGGTTTCTGAGTTCGATTTCTATAATGTTTAGCAAAGCAATGAGGACTGAGAAATTATTGTTTTTATCCATCCCCCTATTGGATTTCTTGGAAAGATTCAGAGTATCCTTCATACTTTTTTGGATAAAATTCACCTCTTCTTTTGCTGCTTTGCTTAATTTTGACCATCGTTCCCCATTCGTAACTTTATCTTCATAAAGCGTGGTTATTTTTAATCGTGCAGCGATATTTTTTCTAGGATATAGTTGTTATAATGCAATTGCTTATTGCTATAGCTGTTTTCTTCCGAGCCCCTATACGCTTCCCAGAATATGTCAAAGCCCAAATGCTTGTTGTTCAGAAGAGGGAAAACCAACTGAAAAAACAATACATAACTGAGCAGTTAACTACAACGCAGACAGAGCTTGGTGTTAAGGTTTGTGTAATTCTTTCTTCCGTCGACGTAGGCGAAACTTTTGCAGTTTTACTGGATTACCTTCCTAGTTTAGGGTGAGAGAGATGCATTTGATACGCTGTTCGATTACGGACCGGATAAACTGGCACATGTAAAAAGTTCACTGCTTGCCTTCTGCAACAAACATTTAAACAAAATTAATTTGGAAGTTACTGATCTTGAGAATCAGTTTCAAGACGGTGTTTATCTAGTGCTTCTTATGGGTCTTCTTGAAGGTTATTTCGTCCCACTCTACAGCTTCCACTTACAGGTTCCTTCAATGAATTCCTAACTTCTCTAAAAACATTTATTTTACTTTGGAATCGCAAAATTAAACTCAATGTTATAAATCAGAAAAACAGTATGTAACAGATTTAATTGGGTAGGTCAAGGGCAACTTTTTGTAACGGTTCCATCGTTTATCACTACCTAGACCAATGAGAGTCATAGAAGATAACTTCATTTCAGGTTTTGTCATACGAGCAAAAGGTGCAAAACGTGTCTTTTGCTTATCAGTTGATGGCAGAAGCAGGTGCGCAAAAACCGCGAGCCAGAGTGCAAGATATCGTAAATGGAGACTTGAAAAGCACTTTGAGGATCTTACACTCGTTATTCACAAAATACAAGCACGTCTAAGGAGGGATTTTTTGTGATAAAGAAGAAACTTAAGGTTTTAGCATTCTAAGATTAACTTGAAGACCATTAGTTGTTGGCGGATGGCCGTTTAGTTTCTGTTTTGTAGGGACTGTGGAACCCCCAGGACTGCCGCGTTCTTTCTTCACTTCTCTCCTGCGAATTCATTGAGTCGGTTCATCGTGCAGTAACTTTGTTATATGCAGCTTTTCTGTTAGCTCGTTGCTACGAAAGTGCCTGCCAAAATACAGACCTGTAGTCTTAATTTTATTGGGTCCATAATTATAATTTTTGCAGTGCTTATTAAGGCGTTGACGACGGAACATTCAACACACCTTTATCTGTTTCTCATCCTTCAAAGTTAATTTTCTTTCCATAATAACAGAACAGTGACTGCTTTAACAAATATAAACAGATTTGAAAGACTGTAAGAATATAAAGGTGATGTAAATAAATGCTATAAAAATATTTTTTGGAGAACACTAGCGACCTCGAGAACGATTCCGTCGTTCAAGTGGTCAGCCATCACCTGCACCGACACAGGGAGTCCGTTCGCGTTAACGAAAGGAACGGCACAAGCAGGAATACCAGCCATATTTGCAGGCTGTGTATAAAAGTCTTCACTCCGTTCTCGTTCGTAGCTGCCTTCTTTCATTTGTGAAAAGTAAGGAGGTGGTCCTGTAGTGACGGGTGTCAGTAACGCGCTACAGCCTTCTTCTCGGAACACACGGTCAAAGTCGTTCTTAATAAGTCTTCTGACTTTGAGAGCTTTTCCGAAGTATTTTTCCACGTGCCTTAAAAAACTTGAATGGCCCACTCAACGTAAAGAGTTCATCTGCACAAGTGTCAGATTTTTTGTTGTACTGGTATTCGAAAACTGGAAGGTCGGCAACTAACCGCCTTAGGAGGAAATAATTCCCTGCTAAAATGCGTCTTCTGACAACTTCATTCAAAGTCTTGCTACGAGCTGAAGCGTACATTTCATGGGTAGAAAGTTTATTTCCAGACCGGTAGCCGTAGGCAACCCCATCATACCTGTAATTTCCTCCCTGACTCTACCAATAAATCGTAATGTTAGACAAAAGCGTCATTTTAAGACAATAAAAAAGGATACTTTTCTTATTAAAGTACTGTCAACTCATACGACTGTTGCCCAGAGCGACATACCGCGCCATGTTTGAAGCGATATCGGTTTCGGCAATTACGTGATAGCAAATAATGGAGTACTCGATATGCGGCATACTGACTTCTTTTAATTTACACCCCATTTTAACAAGCTCCTTTGCAGCATCATTCCATGCGTTCCAGCAAACGTCTGACAAAGTCTGGTTAAAAAACTCCTAAAGATGACCATTGGAAGAAGTCAAACCTTAAAACACAAACCCATTATTCCACATCTAAAACTAAAATGCAGAAACAAAAGCCATGCTTATAAAAATAAAATAAGGCAGAATGCATTATTTGTAAAAGAATACAGAACAACTTTAAAGACTGCCACAAAACCCCCAAGCACAACAAGTGCAACTTCACTTTTACTTGTTTTCCACGTAACCCACATCTCCCTAATACTACCTTAACACTCAAAGAACTTCCTCTACAGAACCACTCTATAAAAAACAAATCCCAGTTAACTTTCTATCTTTCTTCTCTGCGTCTAACAGCTAGCTGATACAACAACTCCTCCTCCAATATTTAAAAGTGCACCAAACGGAATCTCAAATTAAAAAAAGTTTAGTTCTCAAGATCCTTATCTGCGTTGATAATCTGTCCTCTTTGTCAAAAGATTAGTAATATACAAAAAATATAAAAACTCCTTTCTAATCTCTAATGAAACAAAACTGTAAAACACCGGCTTGAATATAATAAAAAAAATTCAATAAAACTATCACACGCTACTTGCATTACCTACCTTAGGAATTCCAATTGTTAAACTTGAAAAAAGGCGACTTCCCATGAAGCAACTGTTTGGAGCCTCAATAGAGGTAGCATCATTCGGATCTCTTCCAGTCATCATTTCGAAAGTGGAAATAGGGGTACAGTAAGTTATCTCTCACTAATTAGTTTCAAAAGCTTTTTAAGACGGTTTGGAAATCTTTTAAAAACTAACTAAAATGCCGGTTGCATTCAAATGCATCTTTAGCTATAATTGACGGGCAATCAAGCGAGTTGACAAGCGGTATCAGGCCGTGCCGTGAAAGAACTCCATACGACGGTTTGAAACCAAATGTTCCTGTGAAAGCTGCTGGGTTCCGGACGGAGCCTCCAGTATCAGACCCCAGAGCACTGGAAAAAAAAACATGAAAATCACGGCGTTGAAACCATTATAAACTGGAGACAAGAAAAATGAGGCAGTATTAAACCTCAATCAAAAATGGAAATTTTAAAGTTTTTGGTAGAAAATAAAAGAACAGAAAAGGAAATCGACTGACACATCTGCAAGACCTAGCTGCACAGAAACTGCTGACCCTCCTGAAGAACCACCTGGTATCAACCAGTCCTTTTCAAGCTTATCCTTATCAGAGAACCCATTCTTTACCGGTCCAAAATAACTATACGAGCTAGACGTCCCCATGCAAAACTCATCCATATTAGCCTTCCCGATAATACATCCTCCTGTAAGAAAGAACTGTGAGAAATATAAAATCCTTGATACAGATATTAATGCCAAGTATTATGTAAACTTTGAAAAGATTGGAAAAGAAGAAGACGCTGCAAAAAATCACCACTTTCCACAATTCTTGAAACTACTGTAGCTGTATAAGGCGTAATGTAATTGGCTAGCATTTGTGATGCACAAGTTGTTCGGAGATCTTTCACTCTTAAAACAGCCAAAAATATTAAAGGTTTGAACTTATTCCCTACTCTAGTAACATCTCATGAGAAAACTCAGAGAAAATTCCTACAATTAACTTCCAAAATCAGAAGTGCATATCATTTAGAAATTAAAAGTTGGAGAATAGGTCCTATTGTCAACTAAAAAATCTGAAGTCCTAAATTTTTAATGGTTGCCAAAACAACAAGTGAAAGAAACTTATTTGAACAAAGTAGATATACTTGAAAGAAAAGAAGGCAGGGTAACTCACGCATAGCAGTCTTTGACAACGACAGGAAAAGGCTCGTAACCTCGTTCCAAAGCATTCTTAGCTTGAGCTCTAGCCAAATCAAAAGTTTCTGTTATCAAAGCATTATAATTTCGATGCTTCACCGCATTACCAATTGCTAATTCAATTTTCTGCATTTACTAAAATGACATTAATTGTAAGCTGTGACCCTAGTCAGCATCATAACACCGACTGTTTTCCAAATTGACCCAAGTACGCTTTTGGAAGGTTTAAGACTCGAGTTCACAAAAAATATTTCAAAATGCATTTCAGTTCCGTTTTTCACTAACAGAAAAACACCTCTAAAAATTACTGGATGATACACGCCGATGTTTTCAAATGCTCAAGATAATTCTTGCACTGATTCCTTCATCCCAATAAATTAATGAGTCCAATCAGTATTGATCAAGAAAACTAAGGAACACATGAAAGATAAATAAAAGAAGAAAAGACAACACCATTGATGCGAATTACCCGCGAAGATTTTAACAGATATTTGTTAAACATGTATATACATTTTTGCAGGCTTTCCATTCAAAGGGTTAGAATGCTGGGTTTTGTGAGAATCGAAAGTAGGAATCAAGATGAGCAGTGGGATCGGAATACTGTTTGAATTGTTTAGTAGGGTCTGCAGAGGATGTTGACATTATATCCGCAGTTGTTTCAGTCTTAAGCTCGGGCTGAGAAAATGGGTTTGACTTCACTTATGCTTCTTTATCTTGTAACTGCTACTCTTTTTAGTGACAGGCTAACTTTCTTGATGTTCAGTAATCACTGTGGCATCGTTTGAGTTAGACTGAAATCCACCAAAACTTTTTAGGTAATAGCAAAAGCGATCCGCTTTCTTGCCGCTTTCATCCGTTTCACTCTGCGACTTTTTTTTTTCAGAAATTAGGTCCTTATCCCCACCGGTTTTTGAAATTTTTGCTAAAGCCTGTTTTCCACAATCATTTTGAAACTTATAAACCCTTTTTGACCCCCAATTGGTTACGGTAAAAAGACTTCCAGGAACTTTTCCGGAAGGTTAAGTAGGACCCATAATATCCAAAAAAAGACTGTTAAAACTCTATGTGGCAGAGATATTCCACTCTAAGGTCGAGGAGGAAAAACAGTTATTCAGAAACAAATGATACTCTCACATTTTGATATCATGTTTTTACTTTTTTTGTATAATTAATTACGGTACCTTTGCTGGTCCTTCCCAATGCAAACCAGTACTTTTCCTTCATCAAGTTTAAAGTAATAAACCAAGCTTGAGTCAGCAAACAAGTTCTGTACTACCTGCACTCCAAGTATATGGCAGGTACTCTAACTCTGTACGCAAAAGAAAACCTCTGTCCCTAGTTTTCGTGACAGCGAAATTCACAATTGAAAAAGATCCAAAAACCTTACAGAAAAAAAGCTGGTGTTTGTAATGGCAGCAGGGAAGAGTTATTTGATGCAGACATGAAGAAAAAGTTGAGAGGAGGTTGAAATAGAATCTCTTCATTCAAATTCAGTCTGAAATCTCCATCTCTTGTCAGGCGACATTAACTCAAGCTGCAGCAAGTGGAAGTCCCTGAACGTCAAAACTGCCTTCTGATCTCTTCTGCTGTCCTTTAGGCAAACGACTGTTGAGGAGGGAAAGGGGCCTTTCTATTCGAAAATACTATGCTCTCCAACTTCATCTTAAAAGAAGTACCTGTGTTGGAAGGTTGCCAAGGGAAATATGCCACTCTGGCTCCTGGCGCCAACTCTGTTTTCCAATTGGATATGGAACTCACTACAACGTATATATAATATTAATTACGACAGCACATGCTGTCAACATTTTCTGGGCACCGCCACTGGGTTTGCCAACAATTACAGCCGATGTTGTCGCCATTGAAACAGTGTAAAAGAGTGGGCAGGGAGGAGGAAGGGGAAGGGGGCAATAGGGGGCTTTGTTGCGTCCGAACTGTCTGGCCTGCTATGGACAAAATTTTTGTGCATATTTTTTTCAGGTCGGCGCAATGGTTGTTGTATGTGACGTGTACTCGATCAAGAGATTTTCATTCTAAAAGATAAAATCAGCAAAAATTTGATACAAATTTGTGGTTGAACATGAATGTTCACATCTTGTGTATTTTGTTTATTATAAATTGCTCTGGTCCTCTTAGCCGTTGTTTACAATGCAGTGAGCCTCATCTGTTTTGTCTTCTCAAATAACAGTACTAAGTGTAATTGTAAGGTGGTGACAGCGGGAAATGTTGTTGGTAAAACTGAGAATAGTACCAGTATTAACACTATCAATAATGAGCGCAATAAGAATAATAATAATAAAAGTAATAGTAATAGTGACAGTAATAATAAAAGTGGTAATAATTGCTAGTAAAGTAATTTTGGCATGTTTCTAGGCACTGTTTTGAGAACAATTTTTTGTTATGAATAATGGTTCATTCATTTGGCACAAATTTGTTTGGAGCCTTTTATAGGCCTTCTAGTATACTTTTTTTTTTTACTTCATGAGGGAAGAAGTGTTAATAGCTTATTTCCTCTCGTTTCTTTCTAGCGAGCTTTGATTTTTATTTTTGCTGAAGTAAAACTGTGCATTGTTACACACCGTTGAGCAAGTTAAAATGGTTGAGTTCGATTTATTGGAAGACCTCCTTTTTTATTCACAGATGTTTTTTCTTTCTTTTCTCTCTACTCATTTAATGACTAATTGTTTGTTTGTGAAACCAAATACCCGACAGTCTCTTACAACCACTCAGTTAGGGTGCTGAAGTTTTAGTTGACAACTTCCTTTTGTTTCAGGTTTTATTGAAGTCATCCACAATAACCAGGAGGGCCGCAATTTTGCTACGACTTTTGGGGTGTTGAGGTGCAAATCTTAACGAATAATCGTGTTAAGGTGTTAAATGCGGCGGGTCGGACTACTAGTTTTGATTTGCTTAAATCTTTTCGTTCAAGCAGATGAACATGATCACGTTTACAGAGACGCTGAAGAGGTCTGCCAGTAGTTTCAATGGTATTTCTTTTCTATTGCTCTTTAATTAATCGTTTACTTCAGGTAGTCTTATGGATGAACACAGTCGGACCTTACAATAATCGGCAAGAGACCTACACTTATTTCTCACTTCCATTCTGTAGGGGGCCAAAAGAGACTATCGGGCACTATCATGAGACTTTGGGAGAAGCATTGCTTGGGGTTGAATTAGATTATTCTGGCTTAGATATAAGATTTAAAGGTGAGAACCAGTTTAGTTTTTATGTTATAGTTTCTTAGTAATTGATTGAAAAAAGATTTTTTTTTTTTTTTTTTTGTTTTATATTCGTCTGAAATGAATTAGTTCTTATATCCATTAATTATTATTTAGAGAATGTCCCAAAAAAAGTATACTGCACTAAGACTTTAACTGATGCTGATTATAAGGCTTTCGTATATGCAGTGGCTAATAACTACTGGTATCAGATGTATCTTGATGAATTGCCTTTGCAAGGTTTTGTTATGTCCATAATTTTTATAAGCAAATTAACGTTCTTTATTACACTTTTATTATTTCAAGTGATCCATGAGACAGCTTTTGCGTGATATTTTCACATTAAATACAAAAATTTTTTCACTTCGTTATCGACATCTGAATTACTTTTATAGGTGTGGTTGGTGAAATTGTGTCTTCGACTAAACCAGCGACATATAAATTGTGGACCCATAAAAAATTGGAAATTGGTTACAATGGGAACCAAGTATGTAACGCTTTTCTTCTATTGTTTTTAAGTGTTAGTCTGCTAGTCTTACTTGAGTTTACCTTTGTAGATTGTTGACGTTAATTTGACGTCGGATAACAAGATGACTTTGGCACCCAATGCAGTAATTAAATTTAGTTATGAAGTAATTTGGAAACATTCTGATGTTGAGTTTGACAGAAGATTTGATAAGTATTTGGACCCTACTTTCTTCCAGCACAGGGTTAGTTTCCATTTTAGCTTTTGACTTAATTATTTCTTAGGTAATGTTTGTTAGCGGATTTGTAGAGGATTGCAGCTTTACAGTTTACATCTTTGAGCCCTCTTGGCTTGGAGCATTATTGTTAAAATTTAATTTTTTTTCAAACGTGTATTTTCAGATACATTGGTTTTCAATATTCAACTCGTTCATGATGGTAATTTTCCTTGTTGGGTTGGTATGGATGATACTCGTTAGGACACTGAAAAAAGATTACGCTAGATATCAAAAGGACGAGGACCTCGACGATATGGTAAAGATATATAATTAATTAAATTTGTTTACTTTTTATTTCGGCAAGTGTTGAGATGTGAAATTCGGTTTCCTTTGTGAGTGGAATTAATTTTTTGTGAGTATACATGCAAATCTGTACCAACTTTATGTCATTAGTGCATACTGTAGGAACTAAATTTTTACGTCTTTGTTTCAACTATTTTTAGCTGACATTTTAGGATCGTGATTTGGGGGATGAATATGGTTGGAAGCAAGTGCATGGGGACATATTTAGAGCACCTTCATTCCCTATATTGTTCTCCTCTCTTATAGGGGCAGGCTATCATATTTTTACAGTTGTTGTTATAACAATTCTTTTGGCAATTGTTGGGGAGTTTTATACCGAGTGAGTGGCTTTTTATTTTTATTGCTTTGTTTTTCTGTCTTTAATACAAGTTGGTGTCGCCAATCTATCCATTTTCCTGAATTATTTTTGCTTTTTGTTCCTTTTTTTTCTTGGAATTTTAGATTATTTGTATCTTTTTTAACTGGGAAAATCAGCTAAAAATGGTTTTTATGCTCAAAGTTTTTCAGAAGAGGTTCTTTGCTTAGTGCGGCTATATTTGTATTTGCTGCTGCTTCTCCCGTAAACGGTTTTGCTGGAGGCTCTATGTATGCCCGTTTTGGAGGAAAAAGGTTTTGATTTTTTAAAATTTTTGATTTTTCTTTGCAGTATACCGTATTGCTTTTTTATGTTGAATGTTACGCTAGGTCGAAAATGGAAGATACGGTGTTTCTCGGTAACCAAATTCTTTGAGATTTTCTTCTAATAGACATTGTTTATCTCACTAGAGGTAATTTCAAACGATTATTAAAGATGGATACGTCAGATGCTTATGGGGGCTTTTGTATTACCTTGTATCATTTCGAGCGTGGCTTTTTTGGTTAATATCGTCGCTATATTTTACCATGCATCTCGAGCAATTCCGTTCACTGTAATGGTTGCTGTCACTGCTATTTGCTTATTTGTTATTTTGCCTCTCAACTTAGTCGGAACTGTGCTCGGTAATTGGTGTCTTACGTAGATTTCACTATTTGCTCTTTGCGTGCTGCCACTCCTTAAAGAAGTTGATTTATGCTGGTATGCTGACATTTATACTTTGCCAGGACGTAATGTGAAGGGTCAGGGCGATTATCCGTGCCGCGTCAATGCTGTCCCCCGTCCAATACCTGACAAAAAGTGGTTTTTGGAGCCGTGGCTTATCATTCTGCTTGGTGGTGTCCTTCCTTTTGGATCAATTTTTATCGAAATGTAAGGAATTGTTGAAGTTTTTCAGAAGTTTCCATGGTTTGGACTTTTTTTTTAGGTATTTTGTATTTACTTCGTTTTGGGCCTATAAAATCTATTACGTCTATGGATTCATGCTTCTTGTTACCGTTATACTAGCTGTGGTCACAATGTGTGTCACAGTTGTCTGCTCATATTTTCTGCTTAATGCTGAGGATTATCGTTGGTTCGTTTGATTAATAGTTTTTAATTTTCCAGCTAACTAGGTTTTTTTGTGTTCTGATATTCCTTAAAATTTAAGTAGAAGTAGTCTGAAAAACGATTTTTTCTTTCTGTTCGGTTTTTAAAGGACGAAGATAGCTTTGCATACATCAATGATCACTTTTTCTCATGCTTCTTTAACGCGTAGACTACTGTTTTAACAAAGTAATTGTAAAGCTTTTTTACATTTTGTATCAATCTGTTTTTGCAGGCGTTGGACCAGTTTTTTGTGTGGTGCGTCCACGTCGTTTTACGTTTATCTTTACTCGATATATTACTTTATGTTTAAAACCAAGTGGGTTTCTTTATTTCATAATTTAGTTTAGCTCTGTCTTTTCTTTTGTTTTAAATTGTTATTTCTTTAGTGAAAATTTCATGAAGAAAGTACCCCGACTTCAAATTGCTTTAATTTTTCTCTTTGCT